TTATAATTGTATAATTTTATACAATCTAATATAATGTAAATTACACTATTTTTTCTTTGTGCAATAAAAGCAAACTCTTTTATATATTTTAAAGCCATCTCAATGTAATTTACTATATTTCACATTTCTAAATTCTAAATTTTAAACTAACTCTATTATTTTGTTCGAAAAAGTAAAGAGAAAGAAAAAGTCATCTTTTAATTATGTTATCTCCAATTTATTTGTTGTTGTGATGCGAGTTTGTGCAACGAATATTTTGTTTTATGGTTTAGAGTACGTGTTAAATTGTAAATTATATGTTATTGGATGGAGAGAGAATCCTATTATCAAAGGGTTTACTTTATTTAATAGTTGTAGTTGTATAATTTAATATAATTTAATATAATATAAACTACATAATATTTTTTTTAATAAAAGTAAGCTTTTTTATATATTTTTAAACAATCTCAATGCAATTTACTATATTTTAAATATAAACTTTTTCTCATTTTCACAAAAATAATTTAAAAAAATTAACTAATAATCACTAAAAACCTTCTACAACAGACTACAGATCCCCCTTTTAGCCATCATTTAAGGCTATTTTTAGCTTCTTTCTCAATTTTCTCTTTAAAAATTTTGTTCATGACTTTGACTGCAAATTCCAGTGTCCAAATCCAACCTTAAATAAATAATAGATTAAATATTAATTTTAATCCTTACATTTTTAATTTTAAAAAATTTTCATTTTAAACTTTTTTTTTTATCTTTAAACTATAAAAAATATATTTATTTAAACTTTTATCAATTAATCTCACCTTTTTAGTCACTAACTTATAATATACGTAGCTTTCAAAAATCAAAGGCTATGAATAATATTATCAATATCAAGGTGTGTGAATGTTTCGTCGTTTTCATCTTTTACCTCTTTACTTTTATGCATTTACACATGTCCCATGTGTAATGTTATAACTACCATTTCTTTGGTACAATTATAATAATTATTAACACCTTATAATTTTATGTATTTATAAATTTCATTATCACTTTTTTTTTTAAGTATTTACATAATGATTTATCTTTATTTAATAATGATTAACTCTTATATTATAATTTTTGTAACCTCTATCATTTTCCACCTTGTATATAAAACTTTGTTATTGTATGAGTAAGATATTAAAAAAAAAAAAGGAAGAATAAAATTTTATATAAT